AGGAGTTGTGGTTTACTTATGCAAACATGAACCTTATATAAGTAATTGGTGTTCCATTGATGTGTCCAAATGACCTTGAAATATAAAATTGAATTGTGTAAGTGAATTGATGATGATACATGCTTCAGTTTCTAAAGATTGGGAAGCAATCCTCGTGACATTTCCATGCGAATCTTTTTAAATCCACTTTTGGGTGACTCATTTTTTATTATATTGAATTTAAATTCACATTGCCATGCCGAGATTTGTGAAAACTGTTCACTTTTTCTTTTCTGGGTGTAGCATCTGCAGGCCTACATGCAATCATTATTTTTGTTAAGCAACATAATGATACAGTTATGTAGAGAGTTAGAGGCGAGGGGCGATGAGAGTTGGTTTATGTTGGTATTCAACTGGTTGCTTCTTATGGTTTGGTACGTCTATATAAAGCTCACATGTATTTCGCTGCATTTGCCTAAAAAGTGTATCCGTGTAGATTTTCAGTACAAAGGTTTGCATTAAGTATATTTTCACTCCATGCGCATGATACATTTCTTATCACCCAATGTGCTGTTTAGGGGAAACTGATCCTTCTAATCTGGCATTCTTTTTGGTCTTCCCTGCTTTAGGTAGTTCATGCTGACTCCTTAATTCTTCAGTGATAATGAGTTATTCATGGATCTAGCAACTGACTGTATTTGCTTTGTCTCGAGATGATGGATACTTTTTTTCATGAGATCACGGATACTTGAATGCCCTTTGTTGACAATATATGGTTTCTGATTGTTTTCGTACGTTTATGCCTCTTCTGAGCTTGCGAAACCCATTTATTTTCCCAAAGATCACTTGTGCCTACTAAGTCTTGGGATCCATTTTTTTCCTATGTGACCAATCCCTAGAAGAATGCATGCTCCCTAGCCATAGAAGAAATCAGCAGGTGGACAAAGTTCAGGGCCTGAGGCAGCAAAGGTTCTTCAAAGGCACTGGGCAATAATTGATTGGTTGAAGGTAGCATTTTCTGTCGAGCTTCAATTGACAGGGAAGAAATTGTTTCTATATGTGCCTTTGGTTTTCTTTCGCTTAGGGAGTTCGTACAGTTCTTTTTTCAGGGCAAGAGATTTTTCTGCTAGATAAGAAAGAGCACTCTGATTAATTAGATCAGAAGTTGTTTTTTCCATCGAGCTTCAGTTGACATGGAAGAAATTGTTTCTGTCTATGCCTTTGGTCTTATTTTACTTAGAGAGTATGTATAGTTTTTTTCAGGGAAGAGATTCTTCAGCTGGATGAGAAAGAGCACTCTGATTAATTAGATCAGAAGTTGCGTGTGATGATGATTGCTCGTGCAGACTACAATGGCACCAACCACCAGGCATGGTCGTCAGTGAGGCGCCGTCAGTGGACATGAGTAAAGCTTCTTGACCTATACGATTCATGGTTTGGCATATTTGCTTCATCGGAGTGCTTTGTCTGAGATGATTGAGATCCTTAATTTGCATTGGTTTATCTTTGTCGCATCTCTTGCAATACATTAGTGGAAAGCTTAGCAGTGCTGATCTTCTAAACTTGAAGTTAATTATGACTTGCTTAAACTCATAATAATTTTGTTTCGGAGAGTGCAGAAATCATTTTGAGGAAACAGTGAACAAAAAAGTTGGGGCATCCTGGGTAATCAGCTTGGAGAAGCCCAGAAAAATCTGGCAGGAGTGGTGACAGTAGCAGCAGCATGCCTGATACAAGACCCGTGAATAGTGATTGGAGCATTAAAGCCATGGTATTATTCTCTTTGGATTTTTTGTTGCATGTCCTGCTTTGCTTAGGCGTTTAAATGTGTGATTTGTTTCTACCAGGTGGTATTCATTTTTTGCAGCCATTGGATGATGTATCATGTACGTCCTCCCCGCTCAACCTTATTCCCCTTGGTCTCTTCAAGAAAAAAAAACTGACATCATTAAATATCTTTTGCGATACTTTGGGTGCTACAGAAAACAGAATTTCACTTCGGATAGCTGCATGTGTACATATGTGGTGGAGGAACTCAACAATTTCCAGTAAAAGCAAACGTTTTTGCAGTCAAAGGTAACCTTTGCTACATCTGTTATTGAATATATGCTGGGGAGGACAGTAGCAGTTTTGAGATGTTTGTGTGTTAAATCCATTGTAGGCTTTCCATCTGTGCGTTATTCATAATCTTAATGGGCTTCAATTTTATGCTGCATGATGCAGATAAATTTATTGGTTATTTAAAATATCAACATATATTTTCTATATCTGGAAGAATGGGCCACATTGAACTCACTAATTCATTTACATGCGCACATGAATTGCTAATACAGGCCGGTCATGTTTTCCAACTTTTCCTTCTTCTCCTGATGTTCCCCTGTACTACTTGCCAAGGATCAAGTGCCTCTAACGTTATACATGTGTACGTATATTGAATGATATACTTTTTACTAGGGATTTCTTTATCGAGCGTTTAACATGTTGTACTTAGTTTGCATGGCATTTCGACTATGCTTAGAACAACATTGTGAATGTAGGTGTTATTCTACCTCTTGGGCTGTAATGCTCTATTCATTCAATGTTTTAGGTTGTGCTTCTCGACGATCAGATATTTATGGCATGGTTGTTTATGCTCTGCTCATGGTCGTGCCTGCGAAGCTGTGATGACTTGACGACAGGAGAAGTGGTCAGGATTGAGCCATCGGACAAGAGATGACCGCCGTCGATTGCCAACAAATTTCTGTATGCCACAGTGAGCGGGATGCGTTCAATATCTTCAGATGCTCTGCACTGCACCCGCTATATTTGATATGAGTCCACATGCAAAATAAAGGCATCACATGTTCTGAGTTGTTCAGCTTTTTATTTATTTATTTTTCGTGATTGGATTATATGCTACTCGGTGTTGAAGGGTTTGTTCATGCCAAAGTTAATAAATCTTGTGATGTTACCAGAGATTGCTCATTTACTCATTCTGTATGGGATGGTCAGGGTTTGATTATTTTTATCAGCAGACTTGCATTCAGAAAATAACCCAATGGCGCTCGTCTGTTCTCTTTACTTATGTACCTACACAATAGTGCTTTATTAATTTTGTTGTGCAAATAATCAGTCTTTGTGTTTATGAGAAATGATAATGACTTGCACCATTACCATACTTGCTGAAAGTATGTTTTGCTGCAATACAATCCTATATTTACCTCATGTCATGATTTGATTCAGGTATAGCTTCCAAGTACCCAGTTCAAGGCATGTCCAAATTGAGAGGATTCACTTATATAAAAATAATTTAATTCTCAATTGTCATGGGGGCTCATTCTTTTCTAAAATTTCTAATGTATTATAGTAATCAATTTCAAAATATGGAGAGTCTAAAAGATAGACCCATTTGGAAATAGATATAGGGAAATAATCATGTTTTTTGTGAGGATGCAGGAAGTTCAATAATATTCATATATAAAGGTTACAATAGTGTACTTCCTTCGTTCACTAATATAAGATGTTTTAAATATTTTTATAAAGACTACATGTGAACTGAAATGAGTGAAGAAACACATTAAAACACGTCTATATACATCTGATTAAGAAATAAGCTAGAACTCCCTATAATTTCCAATGGAGGGAGTATATTCATGGGTAGCAATAATTAAACACTCAAAGAATATGTCTCAAATTCCAGAATAAAGCACTCGGTCAAACTTCATCATACGCCCCTTCCTATCCCACAACCCTTCCACCAGATGGCAAAAGAATATACATATACAACACCCCTTAATAACATATAATCTCCAGGGAGATCTCCCTCAAAAAAAAATCTCCAGGGAGATCAAGTTCGTGCGTCTCTCTTTCTTTTAGTAACAAAAAAGTACTTGTTGTCTGTGTGTGTATCAGTCAAGCCCTTCTGCTTGGGCCAAGCTAAAAAACAGTGCAAAAAACAAATACAAATAAAATATAATTTTCCAAAAAATGTTCATCACCAAAACTTGAATCAATTTTAAGAAAATGTTCTAAAAAAATTGCAAAAAATACACCTTTTTAAAAACAAATCATGTTTTTCTGAACAAGAAAAAATAAAATTGATTGAAAGACTATTCCATGCAGAACTACTCTTTCGTCGGATGAAAGTGCGGAGCTGAATTAGGTCTTGACGAACGCCATTAGGGTGGCTTCTTGACATCTGATTTTTATGGTCCAAAATGCTATGCTTGTAAACTTATTTCTGGCGTTAGCCAACACTCGATATAAGAAGTGTTGCGTAGTTGCCCGTTGCAACGCACGGGCATTTGTACTAGTAATTATACAAATGGACAACTTCTTTTGTTACCGAGGACCCTTTTCTTTCCTCAAAAACATTAAAAAATATAAGAAAAGGAAAAGAAGTACGAAGACAACGTTTATGTTTTCTGGTGGTTGCAAGGTTTTTATTTTCTGTTTTAATTTTCTCCGGTAGTTGCGCCGTCAATATCGGGTGGCGCACCGAGGACAAGCAGTAGATCTTTGGCTTGACTGCGTCATCTTGGCAATAGGCAATATATACGAGCAAGTTAATCCAGATTCGCCGGCCGGCAATGATGAACCGCCGGCTTGTGCATCTGGTAGCCCGCGCCACCATCGGCGGCCGCCAAGCCTACACGCTGCACCCCATCGACCCATCGACCTTCTTCCATGACCGAATGAAACCAAGCGGCGCGGACGATGGAACGGCGACGATGGAGGAATTCCAGCCGCCCCCACCGGCCATGACCTTCCTCGGACCCGACACGGAACCCCAAGACATGGATTTCATGCCCGTCGGCGACAAGGGCGTCCTCGCCGTGGACTGCGAGGGTAGCGCCGCCCTCTACTCCGCCTCCTCGCAGACCCTGAGCACCATCCCCATGCTGCGCGCTCCAAAGGTTGAGCCCATCTTTTTCCCCGTCGGTGACAGCCGCCTGTACGTCATGGATCGGTAACCTCGACGAGACCCCCGCCGCTGCTTCCTGTCCCTCATCCGTGGGCGCGAATCCGGCCTCCGTTGTCGGATGGCATGGCACTGGCGATCTCTCCCGCCGCCACCCTACCTGCCCCCGACCCGCTGGGACGACGACTCTTTCGAAGACGACGACGACGACGACTCTGACTTGGACGATGACAGGCAAGCCATGGTAGACGACGGGTCCAAGTCCAGTATGGTGGTGGACGGCGAGCTGGGCGACATAGCGGGGCACACGGTCGTGGGCGATTCGAAGATCTGGATATCCACGGCCGGCGCCGGCACCTACACCTTCGACGCGGGCAGCGGCGCGTGGGCGCCCCGGCCGTTGTACTGGCCGCTGCCGTTCCGCGGCCGCGCCGAGTTCGTCCCGGAGCACGGCCTCTGGTTCGGCTTCTCGTCACTGAACAACAAGCTGTGCGCGTCCGACCTCGCCGCCGCTTCCGAGACGAGGCCGCCCGTGCTGAGGGGTGAGTGGGAGGACGTCGCGCAGGGCGAGGGGTGGAACCCGGTGGCGTCCTACCTCGTGCCGCTGGGCTCGTGGAGGTTCTTGGTCGCCAAGTTCTTCGAGACGAGAGAGTGGCAGCAGTTCAAAGATGGCGGCGGGGATTATGGAAAGTGCGACAACTTTGCGGTGTTTGCCGGCGTGGAGCTGCTGCCCAAGGCCGGCGGAGGGCTGAGCATGATCAAGCACCGCTCCAAACGTTACTCCCACGTCTGCACCGCGCCGGATTGGGTGATTTGATGATTCCACTTCCATGCATATATAGCTATCATGCTATATGCATGCTACCACTTTCATTGTCCTCTTCGTATTTTGTTCATCATAGATTTGACTGATAAAATATTAATGCATGTTATAAAAAATTATATGATTGAATTCGTATTTGAACATAGTTTTCAATGATATTGTTTTTGTGATATGCATTAACATTCTGTTAATTAAATCCATGATCAAAATTTGACACAAAATAGTAAGTAAACCAATAAACCGACGGAAGAAGTAGCCTATATAAATGTAGACAGGTAGAAGATCGTGTATTGCAGATTAGTTTGTCTTGGAATCAAATAAAGAGGGACCTCCCCTCCAAAAAACCAAATAAATAAACGGATTTTCGAGGCACATAAAAGATACTAATATGCATTTCGTTTATTTCCATTATGTGTTTCGGAGACGGTTTCACATAAGGAAAAACATCAAGATTCATTTCAAAGAGATTTATCAGTTACTAAATTTATTAATTTGTTATGTGTACACTTCTAGCAAGATTTATTTTTTGGATACAAAGAAAATCCAATGTTATTTTGCCTCATATATAGATGAATCTCCGCCTCACGCAACTGCCTCCTCTCAAAAAAAGAAGAAGAGATCAAGGTTCCTCTGCTTCCGCCGCCGCCAGTCTACCTCGTCTTCAGTGGCCTCAGGGCCATGGAATCACAGTGGATCCCGGCTCTTGCCAGTGCAAGGGCTCTGTTTTTACATATTTCTTTGAGTTTTGTTCACGTTTGTGTCCTTCTCAGGTAGACGAGAGGGCAACAACTCCCTAAAGGTGGAATAATGTTCCCCTGCCTACCCCATCACTGTGGTGCGTCTAGCACTGTCAATGAACGGGTGGAGGTGTGTCTTTGGTGGATTTGTTCAGATCTGGTAGTCGTTCGTCTACGTTCGTGTGTCTTCAGGCTCGATCTATGCTACTCTTCATTGACAGAGGTTGTTCTTCTAGTGCGCTGGTCCTATGAGGACTTAGCACGACGACTTCCCGATTGTCTACTACGACAAGTTTTGCCTGACTCCGGTGAGAGAGGGGCGATGACGGCGGTGTGCCTTCGGCTTGCTTTAGTGCTTATACTAATTGTTCTATAGAACTGGATTTAATTTTTATTATTTCTAGTGTTTATTGTATTACCATGATTGTTCTGCTTTGGACGCGCCAAAGAGGAACAAGAAAACTATAAACAGTTGTTCGGGTGTGAATTAGGTACGCTCCCCTTTATGTATCTAGGGATCCCAATTCACCACCGCAAACTCACTAACAAAGAATGAAAATGCATTGAGGATCGGTTTGAGAAGAAACTTAGTTGCTGTAAGGGCAACCTTTTATCTTATGGAGGAAGATTAGTTCTTATTAATTCGGTACTGACGAGTATGCCGATGTTCCTCCTTTCTTTCTTTGAAGTACCAGTAGGGGTACGGAAAAGATTGGACATTTACCGATCACGATTTTTTTGGTAAATTGACGAGAACAAGGCTAAGTATAGGTTAGCCAAATAGGACATCATCTGTAGACCGAAGGACCAGGCTTGCTTGGGTATTGAGAATATGGAAGTGAAAAATAGATGCTTATTAAGCAAATGGCGATATCTTCTTTCGGTAGAGACTGAGGGAGTGTGGATTCAGTTGTTGCGTAATAAGTACTTGTACGCTAAGCCGTTCGCATAGGTTATGGCGTAGCCGTCGGACTCTCCGTTTTGGAAATGACTTATGAGGACGAAAGTTGCTTGTTTTAACAGAATGAGTACAGTCAGGGTACTAGGTTTTGGGAAGATACCTGGCTAGATGAGACCCCATTAGCGCTACAGTATCCGGCTCTTTATCACATTGCACAATGGAAAGAGGTTTCCCTTGCTTCAGAGTTAGGGTCCGTTTCCCTCAATATTCAGTTTAGACGGGCGCTTGTAGGTCCATGTTGAAATACATGGATGCATCTTGTGTGGAGGTGAATGGAGGTTAACTTGTCAGATGCAACTGACTCGGTACACTGGAAGTTAATGGTGTCTGGACCCTTTACGGTTAAATCTATATATACAAATTTAATCAATACAGGGGATATTCCAAGGTCGGTTCACATCTGAAAGATTAAAGTGCCATTGAAAATAAAGGTATTCATGTGGTTCGTACACAAAGGTGTAACTTTAACCAAAGATAATCTAGCTAAGCGTAATTGGGAAGGGAGTAAAAGATGTTGCTTTTGTGATCGGGACGAAACATCGAACATCTTTTTATAAAATGCCCGCTTGCTAAGTTACTTTGGAGAACTATACATGTGGCTTTTAACGTCACTCCGTCAATTTCATTGCACACCTATTTCATAACTGGCTGGATGGGGTAGCGACCCAGACAGCAGCACAGATTAGAGTCGGAGCATGTGCGTTGCTTTGAGCTTTATGGAATTGTCGGAATGATGTTGCTTTTAACAGACAAAATATCGTGAATTTTTTGCAGGTCATCTTCAGAGCGTCTATTTGTATCCATACGTGGTCCTTGTTGACCCATACGGACCACAGTGCCCATATGGATACAAGATGCAAACGATGGAAGATGGTTGCATGGGATACCTACAAACGATATGGATGGTGGTCCAGTAATAGGATAGGCGTGTAGGCATCTACTTCATTTATAACCGGTTGTGGCTTTTTTATTTTTGGCCGCTTGTGGCATTTGTTCCAGTACGATCGTTTGTGTTTGCTCGAGACTACTTGTGGACCTCGTTTTTGAATAAAATGGCTGTGTGCATTATGCGATGCAGAGGCCGGAGTTAACCTCCTTTTCGAAAAAAAATTGATTGAAGATTAATAGATCAAAAGTTTTCCACAAAACAAAAAGATTGATCTGTCATGAAAATTGCGTTTGTGATTTTCAGGCTCACCATATATTGGTTTCATTACAGAATATATAGATTCAGATGGGGAATCTCTCGCCTTGGTGTCAATTAGAAGAAAAAAATAGGAACAGAAAGCAGCAACAACTTGGAAGACAAAATTCTGAGATGTTGAATTGCAGTAGTATACACACTTAGTTAAGGACGGCATGAAGGTTGGGGGAAAATATCATATGGAAATCAACATTCAATGGAAACCGATAAAAACCGCGTGAAAAAGATGTTGTGAAGTTTCGAAAATATCTCAACAAAATATATGATGTTTAAAGGATGCTATTGCCATTTGAAATTAAAAATTCAAACATATTACGGGATGTGAGGGGCAAAAAAAATAAATCAACATTGAATAGTGCCAAATAGTAACGTCACTATTATTCGGGGCTGAATTTGTTTTTTTTTTCATAGTTCACGTATCGTAATGTGTTTCAACTTGAATTTTGATGTGCCAATAAAACATCACCCTCTTAACATCCCGTATTTTTCAGATTTTTTTGAAACTTTCAAATGTGGTTTTTATAAAATTTTCTTTGTATATTGGTTTTCGTATGATATTTTCCCAAAGGTTGGAGTTGAATTAACACTAGTAAAATAGGAAATTGAATTATACTGTAGTAAAGATACTCATGTTCATACAATCAAACTTCATTAAAATATATTACAACCAATTCTCTTAGCAAGCAACACATGGAGTATCATCTAGTTTAGTAATGTATTGGACCGGTAGGAAGCATCCACATTGCATTACGATTTGGCCCGGTGATATCTTTGCATGGATCGTGCACTCCATGAGTTCCCCATTCCCATTGACGTCGAAGACTCGCAACAGGTTGTCGTCACACGGCCCCATCCAATTGATGCAGTTGGTCTCAGCCTGGAGGCGGTCGCAGAGCACCACCCATCGAAATACTGAGGGCACATGAGGAAGGCTCGGTCGCCGATGTCGTTGACCTTGCGCCACCTCTTCCCCGCCATGTCCAGCTTGTACACGCCGCAGCCGAGAACGCTTGTGGCGCCACCGATGTTGTAGTGCAAGAAGGCGGAGACCAGGTTCATAGCTAGGGAAGGTTGTATTAGATCGCTTTGTAAAACATGGCGCAATGTGCCTCCGGAGTGGGTTAGCTCGGAGGTTGCACGGGAAGGTGTTGGAGATCGTTGCAGAAAATAAAAAATTTCTACGCATCACCAAGATCAATCTATGGAGTCATCTAACAACGAGAGAGAGGAGTGCATCTACATACCCTTGTAGATCGCGAGCGGAAGCGTTCAATAGAACGGGGTTGATGGAGTCGTACTCGTCGTGATCCAAATCACCGATGATCCTAGCGCCATGCGGACGGCACCTCCGCGTTCAACACACGTACGAAGCGGAGAGACGTCTCCTCCTTCTTGATCCAGCAAGGGGGAAGGAGAGGTTGATGGAGATCCAGCAGCACGACGGCGTGGTGGTGGAAGTAGCGGGGATCTCGGCAGGGCTTCGCCAAGCTCAGCGAGAGGGAGAGGTGTTACGGGGGGAAGAGGGAGGCGCCAGGGGCTTGGGTGCGCAGCCCTCCCTCCCCCCCTCTTTATATAGGGGCCCTGGGGGGCGCCGGCCCCCTATAGATCAAATCTCAAGGGGGGAGCGTGAAGGAAATATGCACTAGAGGCAATAATAAAGTTATTATTTATTTCCTTATTTCATGATAAATGTTTATTATTCATGCTAGAATTGTATTAACCGGAAACATAATACATGTGTGAATACATAGACAAACAGATTGTCACTAGTATGCCTCTACTTGACTAGCTCGTTGATCAAAGATGGTTATGTTTCCTAGCCATAGACATGAGTTGTCATTTGATTAACGGGATCACATCATTAGGAGAATGATGTGATTGACTTGACCCATTCCGTTAGCTTAGCAATCGATCGTTTAGTATGTTGCTATTGCTTTCTTCATGACTTATACATGTTCCTATGACTATGAGATTATGCAACTCCCGTTTACCGGAGGAACACTTTATGGGCTACCAAACGTCACAACGTAACTGGGTGATTATAAAGGTGCTCTACAGGTGTCTCCGAAGGTACTTGTTGGGTTGGCGTATT